CTCAGAGAAGTTAGCAATTTTCCAACAATAAATGAATGGAAGATGCAAGGTTCAAATTTGGGTCTCTTAATTTTGTGAACTTTCTACTGCACTGTGACAATTCCTCAAGGGGCACAATGAAAGAAGCACACTTGGCACTGGACCTCCTGAAATAGGAATAAAAGGTCCTGGTAGATGCTAGTAGCCTCCATTCACTGCATTTGTTCAGTCCTTCCTTATTCATAAATTCATGAATTTTTAAGCAAATAAGCATTTGTTTAACAAGCATTAATGAAAGACTTAGTAAGACACCTGATACCACTGAGGAGAGGATAAAGTGAAGAAAAGGGAAGTGGGGAGGGACATAAAGATAAAATATTCAGGATCCACCTTCAAGGAATTTAGGAAATCTAAGTCTCATATATAAATAACTATAAAACAGTGAGAATATGTTGGGTCCCAGGAGAAATACAAGTTAAGATTAATTCCTGGTATGCCTTTGAAATACAGGTATGATGTTGAAGGGTAGAGATGTAAAGGGAGAGTATTCCAAAACAGAAAATTATAATTTGGAGGGACATTTGCCATAAAGCCATTTTAGAACCTCTCTTGTAGATTAACCAAGTGAAGGAGCACAGAGTACTTTATTCTTAGGAGGAACCCATGGTCAAACGAAACATAGATGGCTGAAATGTATTCTTCATAGTCAAAATAACATCCTATCTAATAAAGACAGAATATGCAAATTGACTGTCCCATGGTCACAAAGATGGCAGCGCCCAGTCCCCTCAGCCCCACCGAAGTCCCCCAGTCCTTTCAGCCCTGCGGGTGGAGGGAGGGGGGAAGGGTGGCAGGCACATGGTGTGGCCGAACCCACCCTCAGCCCCCCAGCCCCCCAGCCCCCCAGGGCTGGCCTGAGGCACAGGCAAGTGTCAGATGGCGGCTACCCAGCCACCCAGGACTGCCTGAGGCTCAGGTAACCAGGGCCGGCCAAGACTTGTGCTGCCAGCAGTGGTAGCAGCAGAGGGGAGGGGAGAGGCTGAAGTCCCCCAGTCCTTTCAGCCCAAACTGATTACTATCGCAAGTGGACCGAGAAGGTCTTTCAACAAGTGTGAGAAGCAAGTGTGAGAAACAAGTGAGAGAAACAAGTGAGAGAAGCAAGCCTTGGTAGAATCGAGGGAGAGCCAGTAGGCTCAGGGCCACTGCCACCTGGGAAGGCCCTCAGAGCTTGGTTCTGAAACTGCAGGCACCCACTCCAGCACCAGCTGGGGAGGAAGCACCGCTGCCGCCCACCCAGTGCCAGGTCCCTGGTTAAGGAAGCGGGTCCAAGTCACAGTTACGATGCCTGGCGGGGCTCTCTCACCTCAGACCATCATGGCTGAGCTCTGGTGGGGGCAGCGAGCGCCTCCAGGATCACTGTCTGTCCCTGGACCGCCTGTGGACACCGGTGGAGCTGGCGCAGGTTAAACATTTTAATGAAAATGGGACGCCTGCACCCCACACCGCCACACCCCGGTCCCCAGCGAGGAGAGGGCAGCAGGATCAGGGGAACAGCCTCGTGACCCAGTTAGGAGGCACCTTGGCTCAGGAGGGGCTGGGAGCAGAGGGCCCTGGTCGCTGGGCTGACAGCACGAAGGACCCAAGGTGCCTCCAGTCGCCATCACCCGCCCAGCGCCGGGCCGCAGGCCCTCACTCCGGAGCTCAGCCATAGGAGGCACTAGCCCCAGGATGTTTTTCCTGTTATCTGGCTGGAAGTACAGGAGGCAGTTGAATTAGAGTCATGATTGTAATTTAATTTCTCCAAACTCAGAGCTATTTTCTTTCCAAATACATCAGGGGCCAGGAAACATTCAAAGAACTGGGGAACCATTCCCAAGTCAGGAAGGGAAGTGACAGGGTGTATACTATTGCTATGAATACAGTATTTCCTACTGCTTACAACATATACAATGTAATGTATTAGATGCCTTCCTATCACATTAAGTATATATTCTCATAGAGTAATGAGCAGGCAGGCAGAGGTGGTTAGGAGCGATCAGGCAGGCAGGCAGAGTGGTTAGGGGCGATCAAGCAGGCAGGCAGTTGAGCAGTTAAGAGCCAGCAGTCCCGGATTGCGAGAGAGATGTCCGACTGCCAGTTTAGAACCAATCCCACAGGCAGTCAGACATCCCCCGAGCGGTCCCAGATTGGAGCGGGTGCAGGCTGGGCTAAGGGACAGCCCCCACCCCAGTGCACAAATTTTGTGCACTGGGCCACTAGTATTTTAATACAGTGGGGCCTTGACTTACGAATTTAATTCGTTCTGAGACCAAGCTCGTTAAGGAGCTCGTTAACTCAAATTACTCTATCAACTCAATGCAAAACATCGGCCGAGAGACAGCTGGTATCTCAAAAAACTCATTAGTCGGGACACTTGTAAGTCAAGGCCCCACTGTACTTCTCTAGGTAACAGAGACTTTTATTTTCTCCATATTTTTTTAAAGAATTTGAATTGTACAACTGCTACAGCCTGCTACTGGGAGTTAGAGAGGAAGGAGAGAAGGAAGCTCCTGATTCTGATTTGCTATTGATCAGTTCGTGGTACTACATATTGGGTTAAGAGGGTGGGAAATATGGTGAGAAAGACCATGGATTCTGACACTCATGATTTGAATATGATTAATTTTTGAGACCTCAAGGTGATTCCTTCTTTACCCCCTTTTCACTTATGTCAAATAAGTCTAATCAAGAGGGACTAAAGTGAGGGCAACTTTCCAAAACTTTTTGTTTTGTTTGTACATAGCAGGTTGGATCTTCACAGTGGGTTTCAAGTAGCTCAGCTTGATAGGATGTGGTAAGGGAAGCGGAAGGGGAAGTGGAAATAAAGCTAAATAATGGAAGCTTAGACTATCAGATTATGGAATTTAGATTTTCTGTAGTAGGAAACTCAGAAAAGTTTGGATCTTGACTTTTGTGGGTTGTTTTGTTTTTGGTTTGGTTTGTTTTGTTTTTTAACATAACTAGAGTCCAAGTTAGAGGAAATAAGTTGAAACAGGATAGTACTTTTTACAATTTTAGAAATAAACGTTATACATAGAAATGTTATAGGGCCCTAGCTGGTTTGGCTCAGCAGATAGAGAGTTGGCCTGTGAACTGAAGGGTCACAGGTTCCATTGAAGGGCCGGCCACAGGTTCGATTCCAGTCAATGGCACATGCTAGGGTTACTGACTCAATCCCCAGTAGAGGGCGTGTAGGAGGCAGCTGATCAATGATTCTCTCTCATCATTGATATTTCTATCTCTCTCTCTCCCTCTCCCTTCCTCTCTGAAATCAATGAAAAATATTTATAAGGGAATGAAAATAAAAGAAAATGTTATAGGTAATTGTTTTATTTTTAACCTCTTTCAAGAGCTGTTATATTTTCAATCTATGGTTTCCATAGATTATTATTGTAACAGTATTGTCAGGGAGTTAATCCCAAAATCAGTCTCAAGAGGGTCAACAAAATTGCAGTCTAGCTAACATTAGAGGTATCCAAACAAACATTTACATATTGCAACTGTCCCTCTGACTAGAATTTATTTCCTGTCCCAATCTCACAAAGGAAATAGTCTCTCCTGATGTTTACTTTGATATGGAAAGTCACAAAATTAATTGTTTCTTTCCTTTTTAAGAGCATGCTCAAACTGGAGGCTTTTGATATCTCTCTGCAGCCCAGCCATCTCCCAAGTCAGATTTTAATAAGGTGACCAATAACCTTTTGTTTCAAAATTGGATTTTGCAAAAAAAAAATCAAAGGTGGAAAAGTTTCTATATTAAATATTGACTATTTTTAAAGAGCTCTCTTTCTCTTATCCCTCCTCTCTTCCTCTCCCCATAAGTTGAAAGATACTAGTGAAAGGGTTGAAAGCCTTTAAAAAGTCCATTCTAAATGTTCTTTTCCATTTAGATTTGTTCACTTTTCTCTCCTGGATTATAATAGTACAGTTTTAGTAGCATTACATCTCAGATAATTCTACTTGTTGAGCAATTAACATTTCTATTTTTCAGGTCATTTAAAACCAGTACATGTGTGTACTTCAAGTATTTTAATAAAATTACATTTACTTATAATTTTGACTTTGAGATGGTCTATAAGAGTCCAATCTAAAATAAAATGCAATTTGGTGGCTATCCACAAACTAGGAAGAGATCCCTCACCAAACCTCAACCATACTGGAACCCTGGTCTTGGATTTCCAATATGAAAAACTGGGAGGAAGTGAATTTCTGTTGTTCATGTCACCCAGACTATGTATTGTGTTATTCAGGCCAAGCTGACTAATACACTGACTGTCCTCATTTTGTGGATTAGGATGCAAACTGAGAGGTCAAAATTGGCATTTGAACCTGTGTATAACTTCAAAACCTACTCTTTGGGTAGCCCTCTGAATTTTGAGCCAGAAAATACTAGTAATGAATATAAAGAGTCTTTAAAAAAGATACAAAGCCCTTCCTCTGTTGCCATGTGTATTTTTATTTTTAGCAGATACAGATAAAGCCAGTTGATTTTGCTCATTTCTATTTATTATCATCTGATTTTTGTGTGCTAACCGGATGTCATTATTTGAGCTCTCAGAATTCCAGGTTAATGTTAAAAAATGTAGTCAATGCTCCTGAAATTGCAATGCTGAAAAATCCAAGAAGATTTATTCATGCTGTATTTGTTTTTTGTAAAACATACTAAATACAAAATATCCCGTTTTGTGCTTGAAATTAATTGGCAGTGCCTCATTAAACCATATTAAAATTAACGTCTATTAATTGGATTAGAAATTCAGTGAGAATGACAGCTGCTAGTGCCTTTTACAGTTACTCTGTTTTTCTATAATCCATATGGCAGAAATCACATAATGTTTTTTTCTTCCCATTGAAGTAAACACTTGAGATGAAAAGATTTGACTCACTGTGGTCAGGGTATGTGCATTTATTTTCTTTCTTTCTTTCTTTTTTTCCTTTTTTTTTTGGTAAAAGCTGAACTATCTCCTCCCCCTCTTTCACAGGTTTTCACCAGCCATATTTGTGTATCTGATTAACATCGTCCCATCATTGTGGATTCTTGAAGTGCAACATGGGAACCAGGTACATCCTTTTGGAAAATAGAAAAGTGGAACATTCAGCAATAAACTACTTTCATATTCTAATCTGATTTGTGTCAGAAATGTACTTTTCTAAGGAACTGGATTTATTAAGAACTGAATAAAAAGAGGTAATCAACAAACGGAAGCAAATTCGTGATCTGTCAAAACCAATAAAAATAGTACATTCAAGATTTAAGATTATATAATTAATTAACAATTTGTATTAGGATTTGTTCCTAAGACACCCCGCCTCCCCCAATATGCTAGAGTTTACATGAGGGTGTAAAAATTTGTTTTTAACCCTTGCAGGGTCAATGAGCTCCTATATGGAGCTAAGAATATGCAGGGCTCCATAATCTGGCATCCTACAAAATAACATTTTTAGGAACCACAAGAACAAAACCAAACCCTATCATCTGTACCGTGCTATATAAATGCAATCAAATTTGGAGGGTCTATCTGAGATTATCTTAAATACAGACAGATTACACGAGATTCACTTTTGAGGGCCCCATGAGCTATTTTAAGGAAATAGGAAATCTGCTCTAGAGCCCCAAAATAACATTAAAGATGAGGACTCATGAGACCCACCATGAGGAAATGTGGACTATATGTATTAGAACCACACTGACCTAGAAAATAAACCATGGCTTTCAATCAGAGACCCCAGTCTATATACAGACAGAGGTTCTGACTTTAAAGTGAGTTGCTTCTTACTTGAGCAATCTTACGCAGCAGGCTCTAGGCTGGATTCAGCCATTTATTATTAATGTGCCTGTACAACACCGGGGAGGTCGTTAGTAACATCCATCGGACACCAGCCTGGACTTCACATCTTTAGGGTTGGGGTTACAGGACTATGTTTTACAGATAAACTATAGTTATGATATAATATTATCTTATTACCTTCACTAATAAAATACGTTTGGTAAGATCTGTGAGAATTTGCCCCTGCGCAGATTTATTTGTTGCCATTCATCATTTTATAGCAAAGTTAAGCCTCCTATATATGTTTAAGATATTGGAACCTAGAAAGAAAATACTCCAAATTTGAGGCACACAGAGGGGAAGTTAGCTCTGTGGACTGTTTTTGAAAAATTCCACAAGCATGTACCAATAATACAGGCATTAAGGAAAACATTGATCTGCCTTAAATCTCCTGCTTAAAAAAACATTAAAGTGATAGGATATTTCTATCCCTGTAGAAAAAGTATTTATGTAACTGTAGATTGGTTGGTTCAAGTTATCATGACTTTTAAAAACTGTACCATAGGGAGTTAGGGGACTGTTTCAATTTTCTTGCTGCTTACTACTTTCAGGGGTATGGAAATAAGTTGGCGATTTGAATCATTTTTTCCCTTCATATCCAATTCTATGGCATGGCTATCATCCACAATAACAATTCATTTCCCCAAATGCTTTTATAATATAAGTGTATGGCACAGTTAATTGATATACAGGTCAAATCCCATTACAACAAATAGCCTGCAACCAAAAGCTCTCTTTTTAATAAAAAAAAAGATTTTTTGAGCCGCAGGCAGTACTTCTCTCATTTTTTATACTACAAAAGAAATTGGACCTTTAGTAGTAATGCAATTGACTTATTTTGACATGAAGAATTAAAGTGAATGCCCAAAGACTGGATTGGGCAGGGTGGGCAGAGACGGAAATACCTGGTAGAAAAAAAGTGAGAGAAAAAGAGACAAAAAGGTATTGGAATGGCATTTAAAGAGATAAGAAATGGCAGAATAAAGGAATTCTCTTTGTCTATTCATTTAAGAAATTTTGGGTTTAATAATAATCACTTTTCCTGTTTATGTCAAAGTATTCTGAGGCATGTTTTCTCATTTATAAATCCAGCAACTAAATGAGTTCAGCACGGTATATACACTTCTGTTTTATACAAGAGGACCCCAAGACTCAAAAAGATTAAGTACTTTTCTCAAGGCCATACAGCTAATCAACAACTTTCTGGGGCTTAGGACCTATGGCTTGACCCCGACTTGGTTAAACACACTGCTTTTCTCAGTTATGTGTTCCATGTTTTAGAGGACTTACCATCAAAATCATCTAAATTCTTCTTGATGGGAAAGAGAAATTTAATTTCCTTTCACTTTTTCCATTTACTTTGAATCCTAAATGTTCTAACCTATGAGTTGGCATTAGGAAAACATTCTGACCTACTTCAGGCAGACATTCCTCTTCAATGATCAATTATGTACTTTTATTTCTGAATCTGGCAAGGTCTGCATGAATGGAAACAAAATGGTTATGACAACAATTATGGCCTTACCTCTTAGGTTTACTTATGAAGTGGTACAGTTAAAGCAATGGAAACTTGCTGGTCTTGATGGAGTCAGTTTGGTTTGACCCAAAGGAATATTTTTGAAGCTAATAAGAGTTTTTAAGACATAGACCATAAAAAAGTGGCTTGTTGGCACCCAGATCATCTACATGAATTCACCTACATGGTGCTAATGTAAACAATCCTATATAATAAAGAGCTAATATGCAAATGGTCATCACACCCTCGAGCCCTCATGTCAGGGCTGAGGGACCTGAGGCTAGGCCAGGGGACCTGAGGCCGCACCTCCCCCACCCGGCGGGACTTGACGGGGGACCTGAGGCTGTCCCCCTGCCCTGCAGGGCTTGATGGGGGTGGGGCCAGCTGGGTCTGGGTCTCTCATGATTTCGAGGCGCATGGGTGAGCAGGGCCTTGACTCTGGCATGCCCCAGACTCTGACAGGAGGGAGATTTTCATATACATTTTACTAATTTTCTTTCATCTCTGACACTTCTATTATAGAGAAAGGGCAAATAGCAATATTAAAATATTTCTTCTAATTAATTCCCTTTTAATGTGCATGAATTTCATGCACTGGGACACTAGTATTACCATAAAAACAATAAAGTCAGATTAGGTTTAAGAAGTCAAACCAGTTGGTCTTTGAAGTCCTAATGCAGCTGCCACTTAAAGTTTCATCAATGTATCATAAGCAGAATTACGAGAGTGGAGAGGGACTCAGGTTGCTTATAACATCAAATATGGATGACAGCTGTTTGCTACTAAGTTATCTTATACTGCAGTGCAGGTAACTTCTTTAAAATAAAAAGATAACTATGGAGTTTTAGTGACAAGGATATAAAAAAAATCAAAGGTTTTTGGTCAAATTTTTGGTTTTTAACTAGTCACAAAACTACTCTGCCATTAGAATTTATTACTTGGTTCAAATATCTAATTTTTTATCTTTATTATCTTTTCTTAGAGCCTTAGCAATATAAAAAAAAGTGTGCAAACTGTTGTATTTTACTCTTAGAGATTTGGCACATGGCCATTTTTCTTAATTATTCTTGTCATCTCACCTATAACACTAGTACTTTTGATAGAAGGTAGGAAAAAAATAGCCTCTTGACAGACTTTATTTTCTACTTTTTAAGAGAATGATTGATGAAGTATCCAAAATAATTAAGAAAAATACACTTCTTACAGCTTTAGTATTTAAAAAATAGTTTCTCTTGCGGTAGCCGGTTTGGCTCAGTGGATAGACCGTCGGCCTGCGGACTGAAGGGTCCCAGTTTCGATCCGGTCAAGGGCATGTAGCTTGGTTGTGGGCACATCCTTAGTAGAGGGTTTGCAGGAGGCAGCTGATCGAGGTTTCTCTCTCATCTATGTTTCTAACTCCCTATCCCTCTTCCTTCTTCTCTGTAAAAAATCAATAAAATATATTTAAAAAATAGTTTCTCTCAAAATCCAAACGTGTGATCATGGATGAGTAGTGGTGGTGGTGGAGTATGTTTCACAAGTATGTTAGCCCTGCAGCTGTTTAAAGAAATCTTAAACCTTATTATTATTATTATTTTACCCATTTGTGAAATAATCATAGGTACGGTTACATTTTTTAAGTGCCACCTCTTTCCTCTCTTACTTTCTCTACCTCAGATTCCTAGCATCTGGCTGGATAAAAATCATGCACAGCTCACTTGCAGAAATTTACATGCAAAATCAAGGAAAAAGAAGGAGGAAAAAGAAATCTATTTTAGGTCTATTATCAAAATTTCTATAAACTTAAATTGACCTCTAAGCTGATACTAAATCTATATTTTGGTGGGCTAATGTTAATTTTTTTATTATTACAGTGCTTAACAGGCAAGATGGAAAAATAATTGGATCATCTACTTAAACAAAATGGTATTTAGGTAAAGAGGCTTCTTGGGACAAGAAACAAACTCTTAGAATGAATGCTTTGACCAGGATCATGCATGTCTTATTTTACAGTTGTTCCAGGGTTCAAAATGGAACCCCATTGATCCATCGATGAATTCTACAGTTCTCTACAATGAACTCAGAGAGTCAACATCCTCATAGACTTGTGGAACAATAAGACATATAGTTGAACAATTAAAAAGTGGTTTTCTATCTCAAGCATATAATCCGAGTTTTGGGAATGTGTATGCATACTGTTTAAATTCCACATATCTGCTCATAATTCCTTAGATATATTGCAGCTATTTTCCATTTTATCTATTGTGGGTGTTTTTTGTTGTTTTTTGTTTTGTTTTGTTTTTGACATATTGCCTTTTTACAAAATTCTTAGTATTGTGGTAGCCAATCTGAAGGAATGTCGCAGAATACCAGCAGCAAAGAAGACTTCAATCAAACTCTGATGTCAAGTGAACAAGCCCATGGAGGCGATAGTCTCATTGAGACGGTAAGAGCTTCCCCACAGTATATTAGAAGGATGCAGCAAAGCTTCTCACCTGGCAAGGACAGGGTGCTCCAGACCTTTCAGCTCGTTCTAAGGAAATTTGCTCATTGTTTGTTTGACTCAGGAATTTGCAAAATAATTGTATTTTTGGTTTAATTAAGCATAGTTAACATGCATAGCATAATAGACATATATATGTACATATACATATATATGTATATTTACACACACACATATATATATATCAATAGATATGTTTAACTTGCAGTATTAACAAACTTTTAATTCTTAGGTCAGACAATATATGTATAAAGTGAGATACATATATTCGATAAGGGATGATGTAAGATTGGGATCTGCCCTACACTGTTTTAGGTGTTCATATTAATAAAATAAGAAAGGTTTCCAGCCAAAATTGAATCACTTCTTTGTTATTCACATGCCTGATATTTTGAAAACTAACCATGGCCCTATTAGAAAATAATATATGGGAGAGATCAAGGCCAACGCCCCTACCATTGAACCACATTTCAACAATAAGGCTATTAATTCTGTGAGGTTTAACAGAACTAGCCTTGGGTTCTAATTAAACTCCAATCACAACTTACCAATACCACTTTGAACAAACCACTTAAGTCTCTGTATCTCAGTTTTTTTTTTAAATCTGATAATTGAAAATATTAATATATTTCACGCTAGTATGCTTCCTGTAAGAAATAAGATGTATGTGAGGTCTCATAGAAGAAATATAAAGAAGTGTGCAAATGAAAGATTATTAATTTTCATACATGGCTTTGATCAGGTTAGCATTCTGACTTGTCTTTTATTTTCCCTCTACCCTTGCACTTGACATCAGCAAGTGATCTAAAGGGATAAACAGATTTGCACAAACATAGTTAAATTACTGCATAAATCAGTTGGAATCACTATCCAATCCACTTGAGACCTACGCTTTGTAGTCTTTAAAAGATCATAACTTTGAGGGTCAATGATATACTTTCAAAACTTTTTGAAAAGTAGGCAAGAAATATTATCCAGAATACATAAATGGAATGTAAATTTTTCTTAGAGTCCGAGAATAAAGGTAGACTATAATGTGATTGTTTCTGAACTTTTGAATAACATGTCAAATATTCAGAAAAAACTTTATAGTTATTCTCTTTATTTACACTTATGTAATGATTAAACATTATTATATATTTTCTCATTTGATATAATAGCGCTTTAAAACGATAAAAACAAGAGAGAAGATTTGTACCATGCTAAGATATTCCCAGATTTGTAAATTCAATCTTAAAATTGCTGAAAGAAAAATATAAGGAAATTTTTAATTTTAACATGGGAATTTTAAAAATTTGATATGTGTTATATTTAGTTACAAAGAATAATAAAATAAAAAATGATCTTTAAAACTTCATAAAATTGGCCCTTTAAGTATCATTCCAAAGAATCCTACTAGCGAGTGTACGGTTTTAAGTACTTCTAGTTATAAAGCTTCTCATTTCAAGGACCAAATTAGCTTTTTAAAATTTTTCAGAGTGTTCAGTTAAAGGAGTTTTACTTTCTTTAGTAAGTGAAGAATCATCCTCTGAAAGTAACCTTCCACAGAAGCTAACTCTTGATTGAAAGCCATGGTGAAGAAAGTATCTCTCTCAAGGTGGCAACTCATAATCCTTTTGTCTGTATGGCATTTCTGTTAAACAGGCCAAAGTGTTTGTAAATAACTTATCTACAGTATGTGAGAATGCTAATGCTAATAATTGGAAGATGGCTTCTACCTATTGGAGGCACAATCACTCGGGACCAACTCTCTGAACTTCTTCTTTTGTTTGTGGGGACAGCTGCTGACATACTGGAATTCACAAGTGAGACTTTGGCAGAAAATACTGTGAGGTAAGCAGTGAAAGGCCCTGCAAGGAAAAGAACTTCTTTTCAAGGTCAAAGCCCACACAACTGTCTCTTTGTTCCATCATTTCTATTCTGCATGAATAAGGATTTTTAGTAAACTATATGCCAAATGGTAGAATCATAGAATTTGATGCTGTGCATATACATATTGGGTACCAGCCCAGTGGAGATGAGATAGAGATAGAGACAGAGATAGACTTTAATACAAAAAGGAGGTTTCCGCCAAAGAAAAGGGGCAAATAGTATTTTCTACGAGTGAGACAGAAAAGCTCTGCATGTCTGCAGGCCCCCAGGTTAGGCAGGACCATGGTTATCTAAACATCTTCTGGAGATGGATGACCATCACTAGCTCCACTTTCACACTTTCAAGTGTCCAGGAACGTAGTAAGATCCTCTTCTAGAGCATAGCATAGCTATAATTCTAAGAAAGCACCTAGAAGAGACTTGGCAAAACCTCTCCCCTACCCAGCTGGGAAATTTATATTCCCTGGTGTGAATGGAGAATGGAGAATATTAGGTTTCATTTTACTAAATTTTATTTTTAGTCAGTTTTTTTCAAAGTGCCCAAGGCTTTCTGGAGTAGATGCCTATAAATTAAAACTTATTGAGTTGGTACTTTATTTTTGCCACAAGCAAACAAACCCAGAATCCATGATCACAACTGTTTATGAAACTACTTTCTTACCATAAGGGATTTAAATCTCAGTGCCTGAATGTACTTTCAGCTTGGTTTGCTTTGCACTATGCTATAAAAATAAATTGCAATGAGGCTGGCTTTTAATGCTAGTTTACTGTATGCTGTGTGTTTCTCAAACAACAAACCATAAAGCTGAACAAAATACACTAAGTGAGTAAAATAATACCCCAATTATAGTGCAAAGTATATTTATAACCACAGGTTACCTTTACATGATCATTTCTTGTCTCATTTATACTTATTTTTCTTATACCTCATTAAGTGGGCATAGAATTTTAAAAATAATCCAATCTAAGTTGATCTAATATCCTCAAAATGTTTATTTTAGTTTCATAGTTAATACCTTCCATTGGGTCAGTAATTTTCATCATAGGACTAACTTTCAGATACTTTAGGATACAATACAATGGAGTTACAAGAAAAACACAAAGAAATCCCTACCAAGTACATAAAACAATAAATAACTACAGGTACAGTGACAGGAACAAGAGAATATAAAGGTAATTAACTACACCTCTATAGAAATAAACACAGAAATGCTAAATATTAAGGGGGTAGGAGGGATATTAGGTAGGAAATGGGGTATTCAGGAGGGATACGAATGTCATGATACATTCATTTTTCCACCCACTGTTGACTGATTATCTAGTATGTGCCAGGTAATGTATTGGTCAGAGATTGGGGAACAAAAGGCGAGCAAATGATGAGAGAAAGGACATACAGTTCTATCCCAACTGAGGCAATTTCAATTCAGCAATTTCTCCTGATCAGAATGTTTCATAAATCTCCCCCCCACCCCCATTTTAAGCTTGTATCATGTCCTGAAGATGGGATCCAATAAATTATGCCATGGTTTTGGTTTTTAAATTTCTTTTCAGATGGAAGTAACTTTACTTTTAATATAACTGCATTGTGTCCGTGATCTTCAGTAGTCTCTACTCCATTCCTGCATGTTTCCGTCACTCTACTCAAAGACTCCAAAATCATGGCCCAGAAAGAGCCTAGAGCTTTTTCCCTCCTAAAACTCACCTCCCAAATTCTGATTTCACCTCAAGGCCCATCTATATTGCAAGAATTGACACTGCTAATCTCCCTTTCTTCAAAGGAGAGATTTAAATCCCTCCCATTATGGCATAGCTTTTCCCTGTGGTCTCAAAAAGACAATCACAAAGAATAAATTTAATATACACAGAAAGAATATTTACATGTAGTACCAAAGAAGGCAACTTCATTATAATTTACTTAGTGTTATCTATATTAGTACAGTATTTTATTTTCTATTTTATTTTATTCCATAGTTTGGGCTGATTAGGAAAAAGCCTGCAATGATATGTACATTCCAATAATATCTACCTCTTTCCCACATCCTGACTAAAAACTCAAATCCAATTTTTTAACCTAAATCAATTTCCTTCATTTATGCCCATATGAAGTTAGTCTGCCTTATTTTTATAAATTTACATACTGCAATTTTTTCTTAATTACTTGACTTATAGAGCATAAAAGTCAACTACTATAATTCAATGGTTCAATGATATTTACTAAATGTATAGATTTGTATAACCATCACCAGAATCTAGATTCCTTATGGCTCTTTGCAGTCAATTCTTACTCCCACTAGCAATCCTAGGTAACCATTGATATGCTTTCTGTTGTTTTTTAAACTTCATGTAAATGGAATCATGAAATACATAGTCTTTTGTGACTGGCTTTCTCATAGCATAATGCTTTGGGGTTAACATTGTTGCATCTATCAGTAATTTTAAATTGCTGAATAGTATCCCATCATATACCATATTTTACTTATCCATTTCATAGTTGATATACATGTATTGCTATTTTCTTGCTATTAAGAATGATATTGCTATGAACATTCACCTACAAGCCTTTGAATGGATCTGTTTTCTTTCTATTGGATAGATAACTAGAAGTAGAATGACTGGGTTTTATGTTAAGTACATGATTAACGTTTAAGAAACTTCAAAACTTTTCCAAAGTTGCTGTACCTTTTTATATTCCCACCAACAATGAGAGTTCCTTTTTTTCCTCACATCCTCAATAACACTTTTTTTCCCCAATCTTTGATGATCACCATTGTAGTGGGTTCATAGAAGGATCATATTGTGGTTTTAATTTATATTTTCCTAATGACTAATACTGTTGAGCATCTTTCCATGTACTGACTAGACTTTCATAAATCTTCTTTTGTAAAGTATCTGTTCAAATTTTTGCCCATTTTTCATTGGACTGATTTATTATTATTGAGTTATGAGTTATTTATATATTCTGGATACAAATCCTTTATTATATGTATAAATGTAAATGTTTTCTCCCAGTATATTGTTTTTTATTATTTAACTAGAGGCCCAGTGCATGAAATTCGTGCGGGGGTGGGGGGTCCCTCAGCCTGGCCTGCACCCTCTCAATCTAGGATCCTTCGGGGGATGTCCGAAACTGGCAATCGGACATCCGTCTCACAATCTCAGACTGCTTGCTCCTAACTGCTCACCTGCTTGCCTGCTGGATGGCCCCTAACTGCTCTGACCTGCTGGCCTGATCACTCCTAACTGCTCTCCCCTGCTGGCCTGATCACCCCTAACTGCTTTCCCCTGCTGGCTTATCACCTCTAACCACCTCTGCCTCGGCCCCCGCCACCGTGGCTTTGTCCAGAAGGACATCCGTAAGGATGTCTGGAAGACGTCTGGTCTAAGTAGCGTCTTACCCTTTCATTAGTATAGATGTCATTTGAAGAACACTTTAAAAAGTTATGATATAGTCCCATGTATCTATATTTTTTCTTTTATATAGTACTTTGGGTGTCATATCTAAAACATATTTTCCTCACCTAAAATTAGAAATACTCTCCTCTGTAATATTTTTACTGATTTTTTTTTTGGGTACTATGAGGTAAGGTTCTAAGTTCATTTTTGTCTTGTTTTGTTTTGGGCATTGTTCCCGTACTATTTTTTTCCCCAGCTAGGACCAATCCTCTTAGCACCATTTGTTGAATAGACTATTCATTCCCTATTAAATTGCTCTGGCATCTTTGTCAACTGATCACATATGTAAGAGTTCGGGTTTTTTTATGGACATTCTATTGGGTTCTATTGCTCTTTATGTCTATTTTTATGCCAGTACCCCATTATTGTGATTACTAGAGTGTTATGGAAAGTTTTGGAACTGAATTCTGTAAGTCTTCTTGAGTACACAGGCCGATGCTCTATCCACTGAGCCAAACCAGTCAGGGCTTGTAAGTCTCCTAACACTGTTCTTTTTAAAAATTGTTTCAGCTACTCTAGGTCCTTTTTATTTTCATAATTTTTTATAATCAGTTTGTCAAATTCTACAAAAAAATCTGTGGGAGTTTTGATAAGAAGTGTATTAAATATAAGCATCAATTTGTGAAGAAATGACATCTTAATATTGTCTTCCAACCTATGGAAGACATTATCTCATATTTTATTAAAATGCTCCTTAATTTTTTTCAACAATGCTCTGTAAAATATTTTGTTAATCCTCACCCAAGGCTATTTTTTCCATTGAGCCTGCAACTGAGTCATGTGCCCTTGATTTTTTTTTTTTTTTTTTTTTTTTTTAGAATGGAAAGGAGGAAGCGAGAAAGAGAGAGATTGATGTGAGAGAGACACGATGATTGGTTGCCTCCTTCATGTACCCCAATAAGGCCCAGGAATTAATCCGTAACCCAGGTATATGCCCTTGACCAGGAATGGCACCCATGTACCTTCGGTGCCAAGGAAGACCACCACCTTGATCTCTGAGCCACATTGGCCAGGGGTGCTTTGTAATTTTTAATGTACAGGTCTTACACTGCTTTTCCCTCTCTACACTAGTTCACCCAGTGCTTAACATCTCTCCTGTCTTTTGTTTCAGTAGGGGTGAATTCAGTCTCTCTCCACTATTGCAACAGTCTTGAATACAGTCTTCCTTGCCTTATTAACTCGGTTGGGTCCAAATTGTCTTTGACATAGCTGAGCTGGAAGAATATGGGAACATCCCATGGGCAAGAGTGCCTCAGACTCTACTGCTCGTAACTAAAGCTCTACCAGATTTTCATGAACAAATGTTACTCAATTTATAATCCAGAGATGTAAAGTGGTTTTTGTTTTGTTTTGTTTTTTTAAAAAAATTGTCCAGGATTAGGTATGTTTGTTGGGGAGAGGATTTGCTGACTTTCTCATTCTGCTACAGCCACCCTCCAAACACTGTAACAAGTCTGAATTTCAATGTCATTGCCAGGAAGAGTTAAGCCGTCATTACATCTTTGGTGATCAGTCTATTCAGTCTTTTCCGAGCACAGATCATTTATTAAAAAGAACAAATTTGTTCCGATAGCATTACTGTTGCTTTACTGTGAGTGACTGACCACACAAAGAAGGGTTTTCTTATGTTTACACTATTTTCCTTTTATTTGGCTCTTTTTGCCTGGTGAAACATTTCTTCCAGGCTAAATTAATGATTTCATTTTCTTGTGTTTTTTTTTTCTTCTCTCTCTCTCTCTCCTTTATCTTCCACCTCTCCAAGAGGCTTATTTACAAAAGCAAGATGAATTTTATTCATTGATTGTCTCTTATCTACAGGGATATTTACACTTCCAAACAGAAATAGTTAAGCAAATTAGCAATGTCTGACTTTATTTTTATTTTTATCACTTAATAGATATGGTGCACTGATGCACCAAATTCCAGTCTTTCACCTACTCAGTTTTCCAAGTATAGAAGTGATGCTCACATCTACAATTATACGATTCCAGAGCCTTTGTCTCTTTATGAATAGAGTCCATTGTCTGCTTACATGCTTTTCAGTTGACATTTATGGAGATAGATTATACGTGAGAAAATGGGGCAAGACAATTGCGGGAGACAGTTACATAATGCAGATAATGTTGGACAAATTCACTCCAAAAGTCCTCTACAATTTTTTGAGTGTTTGCCATTTAAATTCAGTGATTTATTTATATCCTAACCTTTAACCTTTCTCAGTAATTTTTACTGTTTGATTTAATAATACAAATTTGTCTGCTTCAAAAATTATCTGGCCATCATTTTCAAAGTTATTTTAATAACTTTACTAATAAGTTTCCCAACACACACATTCTCCCTTATTTTGTGTGTGCTCAAATAAAACTTGCATATGCAAAAAACATGCATTTATTATTTTAGGATTAGAATTTGGGTTACTTAGGGCTAGGGTTAGTATATTTTTTATCCCTATTTTGTATAATAAAATTAAAACACGAAGAATTTAAGAAGTATGTTCACATAATAAAAATATGACTACTAGATAATATTTATTTATTACTTGCTGTGTTCCAAGCACTGTTCTAAGGATTTTAGTTGTGATAAGTTATTTAGTTTTTAGAATAACACTATGAAGTAAATACCATCATTTAAATCATTTTTAAAAAATATATTTTACTTTAAAAATATTTTTATTAATTTCTGAGAAGGAAGAGAGAGAGATAGAAGCATCAATGATGAGAGAAAATCATTGAATGGCTGCCTCCTGCATGCCCCACACTGGAGATTGAGCTCACAACCCGGGCATGTGCCCCGACAGGGAATTGAACCATGACTTCCTGGTTCATAGGTTGATGCTTAACCGCTAAGCCATGCTGGATGGGCATTCCCATCATTTTTTAAGCTGAACAGTGACAGGTAAGACAAGTTGAGAAAGTCTCAAGCTCAAATGAAAATAAAGGCAGTAACTAAGTTGTAGTGATCTTTCATAGTCTTTACGGAGTATTTATATGGAGAGCTTTATATGTTTAATGTATTTAAGCAACATACTTAATAAAAATATCATATAAAATACAATAGCTACTAGTGTTACCTTCATGTCAAAGATGGGTATACTATAGCATATCGTTATTAAGTTAGTTCTTCATATTCATGTAGCTAGTTAATGATCAGTCTGGGATTGGAGGCCCAGATCTCTCTGGTGAGGGTGGAGCTAGTATTTGAACTTGAGCAACCTACTACTAGAGCTTATGCTTCCCCAACACTTTCTGCTGCCTTAAAGAAAAATTGTACGTGAGTTTTTGGTAGAATTATTGAAGTTTTGGATTAGAAGAAACTTCAAGAGTGACCACTTATTTTACATCTATTATAAAATCCTTTCCAAAAATTTCTCAATAAGTTTTTTCCAGCCTTTCTTTGAAATTTTTGCTAACAGAGAATACACTACCCCAGGGGCAGGTTATTCTATTTTAAGTTAATATTATTAGAAAGAATTTTCCTCTATTGGGATGAAATTTGGATTCTTATAAGTGCAATTGAAGTCCTTTCAACCTGAATTGGCTCCCTGAAGTCACAAGAAATAAGTTTAATTTATTTCCCACATGATAGCCCTTTAAATGTATGAAATGAAGTTTTAAAGGAATCTTCTCTAGTTTTCAGTTTCTTGAACTACTCCACATATAACATGGCTCTGAGTTATCTACCATACTGTTCCTCTCCTTTGAACCAAAAAGTTTTTAATTGTTTCTCCTAAAACAAAGCACAACATATAACATTTCAGATATATTCTGAACATTGTAGAATAGAACAGGAGTACAACTTTCCATTTCCTTCATGGAAATAGTATAGTATAATGGCTGAAAGGGTGGATGCTGAAATCAGCTATGTAGTTTTGATTTATGCACCCACCACTTATAATCACGTGACTTCAAACAAGTTTCTTCAACTCTGTATGCCTCAGTTTCCCCACTGGTCAAGTAAGAAAAATAGTGTATGTACTATGTAGAGTTGTTATTAGGATGATGTGTGATCATAGAGTTAAACACTTAGAAAACTGCCTGCACATAGTTCAGACACTATAAGCAAAATTATTTAAATATTCAGGTACTTGTTGAAGGCCTACTATAGATAGACATTGACATTGCAAAGAAGGAAAAGTAATTGATTGTGCTCCTTAGGCATTTCCACTTAAAGTGCTAATCTTTATTCTTCTTGTAAAGCAACTTATGATTGCATTTGATTTTGGAAAATCATAAATCATGTAGCACTGTACACTCATAATTAGATAATAGTAAGGAAACACACTTGAGTATTCTTATGACTGTTTCGGTGAAATGCTACCTCTTTTATCCTATTCTAGATTATCCAGTCAAGATCTTTTGGGATCCTGACCGTGTCTCCTAGAATGTTGGCTTCCCATCCAACCTCCATGTCTTATGTGCATATGGGAAGACTTCCATCAATGTTGGCAACCAAGTCATTGATGAAATACAAAGTAGAACAGGATCAAAGGCAGAGCCTGCAGCAACCCATTAGAGAGCTCTCTTTGGAGAGTCATTTTACGCAGTTAGGACGCCACCGAACTATACTCATACCCAAAATATTTCTTAATCTTCTTAATAGGAACACTATGAGAGGCTTTTCCTAAGCTTTGGTAAAATCCCAATGTCAATTATTAATTTATATATCATTACCTGCCTGGTAATCCTACTTCTATTTAAAAGAGAGAGAAAATAATCATAGTTGAGTGCTAATTATTCTTAGGTTACCTGTGCTGACTCCTCGAAATTACTGTCTTCCATAAGACCTCTCAGAAATCTTTTAAACAGTCACCTATAATCTAACTAAGGATTAATAGTAAGTGTGTCTTTTGTAGTTTAAGATATCCTTCTGCTTCATTTTGAAAGTTAGGACTTCAATTATTTATTTATTTATTTATTTTGTCACCAACCTTGTCTCCGCCATTAACTGCCAAGACAGATAACGATGGCTTAGAATTCTCATTTAGAAACTCTCTCTGAGTTTTGAGATCTAATTTTTGAGCCACTCAATATTTGAAGCCTTTAAAGGTATTCCTTACAATCACCTCATGCATTTTGATTTCAATTTCTCTTCTCTGAGGCTTTTTTTTCTCTCTCTCTCTCTCCAGTCTGAAAACCCCTCTTGACAGGGAAGTTGGCAACAAGATCTGTTATTACACCACTAACCTGAAAATGATCACTGATATTTTTGGTAAAAAAAAAAAAAAAGTGACTTTGATACTTTGAAATATGTTTTATATTTTTGTAACCTCTATTCTTCATGACTTTAGTCTTCCAGACTATTCTTCTAGATATAGGACATTTGTATATTTGCCAAGTGTGGGTCTTTCTTTTGTACATTCAAAAGTTTCTTCCATAGATATTTGGTGAGTGTCTATTATTGGTCAGGCACTGTGCTAGGCACTGAGGATACAGAGGTAAATCAAACAGTCATGTTCCTTGACTTACATTCTAAAATCTGGTATAAATCTTTGATAATTGGATTTATCTCCGCACTTGTTTTCCAAATGAGGATAGCTTTCTTTTAATGCTGAGCTTTTACTTGTTGGGCATCGTCTAGCACTTTTGAGATATATTTTAAAGTTTGAATCTTAGGATCTTAGAAGAATTTTCACTTTTTCTCCTTGAAATTTCTTCATATCAGCCCTCTGAGTTTCCAGTTCAACATCTAACATTTTCCCCAGCTTTTCTCTCTTTTAATGTTGGCATGATTTTGCAAAACTAAAGGCAGCAACATGGCTTTGCCATAATTCACACAGATGTTGGCACATGTGGTGGTCAAGGCTAACCTCTTTGACTCTGTGTTTTCCCCCTTCTTTTACATTATTCCATTGTAATTATGCATGGATTTTTCATGGATTTATTATATCAGCAAAATATAGTAAGACTTATTAGGGTATACTAAAATATGAGAAGAAAGAGGAAAGAGTTCTCCTTTCTGCATGTGATCATATTTTAATTGCTAATTTAAAATTTGTCTGCATTATAGGAATAACCCTAGCCTAGTCTATGGCATCCTTTGTATTTGGACCTGGAGCATGCTTCAGTTTCCACTTGACCTGGCAGGTAAGTGTCTTGATGTTCTCTCAATGAAACAGAAAATTACAACTCTTGATCCTAAATTAAATAGAGCTAAGGAGGCATTTAAGAGAATTGTCATTTTTATCTTTTGATATCTCAGTGTTAGTTCCAGTTCAGTTTAGATGAAAAGTAGATTAAAACTTAGGAAAGTCATCTGCAGATTCACTCTGATACATGGTGAGTCTGAGAAAGTTGAGAGGATGAGAGCATAGCTTTATATTCACGTCATACAGTGGTCCCATCATTTAACATTTGTAAGCCTCCTGTAACTTAGTTAACACATCTGTGTGACAGTTTTTCATCCATGAAATGGAAATGATAATCATAGTAGTAGGGTTGAGAATTTTCTTCCTTCTGACAGCAGAGTAGTATTCCATTGTGTAACTGCACCACAGATTTTTTATCCATGTGTCTACTGGTGGTTACTTGGGCTGCTTCCAAATCTTGGCTATTGTAAATAATGCTGCTGATTTTTTTTTATGGCACCCTACTTGATGCCCCATATCGTAAGTAATATTAGGGCAAATATATTGCAATAGTTAAGATTTGGAAGTACCCAAGTGCCCATCAGTAGATGAGTAGATAAAAAAACAACAACCTGTGGTACATTTACACAATGGAATACTACTCAGCCATAAAAAGAAGGAAATCTTACCTTTTGTGACAGCATCGATGGACATGCAGAGCAGTGTGCTAAGTGAAATAAGCCAGTCAGGGAAAAGACAGGTACCATATGATTTCATTTATATGTGGAATCTAATGGACAAAATAAACTAACAAACACAATAGAAGCAGACTTAGAGAGACAGAGACTAGACTGACAACTGTCAGAGAGGAGGGACTGGGGGAATGGGTGAGAAGATGAAGGAACTGAGCAAAGAAAAAAGAATACATTGACACAGAAAATAGTGATTATCAGAGGGAAAAGGGGGTGGGGAGAGGTAGAAGAAAGTAAAGGGGGAATAAATAGTGATGGAAGTACAGTTGACTGGGTGGTGAACACACAATACCATATACAGATGATGTATCAAAGAATTGTACACCTGAAACCTATATACTTTTATTAACCAATGTAACACCAATAAATTCAATAAAATAAACATAAAAAAATAAAATTTTCTGCATCTTTTTTTTTGGCTCACTTTGATAGGCCTAGTCATTTCAGGGGTCATTTTAAACCTTAGCATCTATGTTTCTGAAAC